CTCTCTCTCTCTCTCTCTCTCTCTCTCTTCTCTCTCTCTCTCTCTCTCTCTCTCTCTCTCTCTCTCCCTCTCTCTCTCTCTCCTCTCCTCCTCTCCTCCCTCCCTCCCTCCTCTCCCTCTCCTCTCTCTCCTCCTCCTCCTCTCCCTCCTCTCTCGGATACCGACACTCTCTCGTATATACCTGAATGTCTCGCAGGCACAGATTGCATGTGTGAGACTTCGGGTCGAGGTCCTGAAAGCCTCTCTCGCTGACGTCCTCCCGGCCTCTCCCACTGCCGCTGGCTCGTCCGGACGTCCAAAATATGGTACATTCTGATAATCCGTTTAGTAGCTTGGAAGGGGAAAGGAAGGGGACGGGGTAGGTGATAATTAGGATGACACTCGCGAGGGGATAGGGGAAGAGAGGAAGGGGAAGGGACAGGGCAGGTGGAGGGTAATATGATGATGGCAGGGAAGAGAAACAGAGAGGGAAGGGCAAAGCGAAAACGAAACGGAGAGAGGGGGAAAAAGAGATGATAGGGAGAAAGACGAGAGGGAAGAAGGATAAAGAAAGAAGGATTATAAGAGGGGAAAAAGGAAGGGAGGGAGGGAGGGGTTAGAGGAAGGGATGGTAAAGGATAGGGGAAAAACGTAAGAGGAAAAAACGATGGAGAAGACAAATTACTGGAATGAGGTTGCGAGGAACACGAAAAGGAGAGAAAGGGAGAGAAACAAAGGGGAAGGGAAAGGCTGAGAAAGAGGGGAAGGTGAGCAGAAGTGGGGGAGGGGCAAGAGAGGAGAAGGGAAGGGAGAGAGAGGGGAAGGTGGAGTAGAAGTGTGGGGAGGAGGCGAGAGAGGGGAAGGGGGAGGGGGAGAGAGGGGGAAGGGAAAGGGAGAGAGGGGAGGTGTAGTAGGTGGGGAGGGCGACAGAGGGGAAGGGAAGGGAAAGGGAGAGAGAGGGGAAGGTGAGTAGACGTGTGGAGGAGCAGAAGGGAAGGGAAGGGGACGCAGGTGTGGGCATGGCAGGCTGAGGGTATGATCAAGTGATGAATCGATCCCATCCGTTAGGGCTGTGTCAGGGCACCCCGCTCGGAGACCCCCAGGAGGCTTCGGGGCTCTCACACCCTGCTGGCTCTCCCTGTGGCTCCTCCACCTCCTCCACCTCCTCCACCTCCTCCACCCTCCCCACCTCCTCCACCAATACGCCCGAGGGAGGGGGAGGGAGGGAGAGAGGGGGGGCGTCTCCTCCACAAACCCCAACTCCACCTCCTCCACCTCTCCCCATACGGGCGAGGGAGGGAGAGGGGGGGGGAGTGTCTCCTCCACGAGCCCAACTTCCGTCTCCTCGTCTCCAATACGGAACCAGCTCTTCCTTTAGTCTCCAGTAACTTTATCTATTAATACGTCTATGTATTAATATTATCAATATACGTCTATATTTGTATATCTATTTCTGTCTATATTCATCTATATATGTCTCTTTTTTATGTCTATCTCTCAATGTCTATTCATCAATACATCAATACTTATATTTTTCTCTATCACTATATCCTTCTAATATATATATCTATTCATCAATCTGTTTATTCATATTAGCATTCTAATATTTTGAATCTATAAACCTATCGGTCTACCTATCTATTCATCAATATACCTATCAATATATTTATTTACCTATTTACCTTTCTATCAATCTATCTATCTGCCTCTCTCTCACTATCTATATATTCTATCTTTAATCTGTTATATGTCTATCAACTACGTACCTATCTACTATTTCTTAATCTATCTGTCTATTATCAATCCATCTACCCATCTATCTATCTATTGATCTATCCATCAATTTATCTTTCTATCTCTCTACCTACCTATCAATCTACCTAACTACGTGTCTATCTATCCACTTCTCTATCCATCTATCTATCCACCAATCTATTCTTATCAGGGAGATATAATTTTTATTCACCATTCCCGCCTTAAATATTATCATTATGTTATATATATATATATATATATATATATATATATATATATATTATATATATATATATATATATAATATATATACATATATATATATATATATATTATATATATATATATATTACACACACACACACAACACACACAACACACACACACAGCCACACCACACACACACACACACACACACACACACACACACACACACACACACACACACACACATATACAATATACACACATATATAATATATATATAATATATATATATATNATATATATATATATATCTTACTATATATATATATATATATATAGTATATATAATATCATCATCATCACTCATTATATTAATAACATCAAACTGTCATAGCACCAACAAAAGGAATTACTATTTGCAGAAAGTTTCATTCGCAAAAGCCTTATTTCGACCATAAAGTTGTCTGCTTCAACAAACGCAATTCAATTTTACCGCCACTCTTGAACCCCCGGTGACACCTCGCTTTTGAAAATCGGAAATTCATGCCGAATTGTTCGCAGTGTCACTCCTGTCATCAATTTTTTTAGAACCGGATTGTCGAGTTTCCTAGTTTGAGAGCCAGAAATACCCATAAGAACTCGAGTAACAAGTCGTTTACGGGAAAAAGCTAAGAGGGTCAAGGGAAGCCAAGTCAAGGAGGAGGCGTCGCAAGGAGACCCTCGTCGGATCGTCCTGACGGGTCGCTGAACCCTCACTCCTAATCCCTCACTTAAAACGCATTTATTCCTCCCACCGAACCGACAATGGCTAATCCCAGAGCTCTTCTACCCCTCGTGGTATTAATCCTAGCCCTTGATTTAGGCAGCGGGACAAGGCTGGGAAGACGTCGAGGAGGAGGGGGACTTCTGACGCCCCCTCGACGTCCTGAGGGCACCGAGCTCCCGGAGTCCCAGTGGTTCCTGCAGAAGCTGGACCATTTCGACCCCACCGAAGGCAGGACATGGAAGCAGGTGGGTTTTAGGGGGATCTGGAGGGACAGGGGAACTCTTGCGTAGGTTTTGGCATTTTATGTCATTTATCTTTCATTTTATTCATTGTTATCATTAGCGGAAGTGGTGATGTCCTGTAGCAGTGCCTTTGAAACTGGATCATTTTAACCCGCTTGCATGGAGTCAGGAGCCTCTTTTGATACCACTCTATAAAATGGATATTTTTATATACAGGTTATGGAGAGAGGTTCATATTTTTTCAGTATGGAGTATATCACAGTCTCCTTGAAATTAAATCTCTTAAATCTCTTATGTCTACTACTTTCTAGGCAGCTGTATGGTGATATGACACTCTTGGCTTAGGCATGACAGTAGTGTATGTTTTGCAGTGTTTATTATTATTATTTATTTTCATTACTGGGTGTGACATACTACCAGTTTTCTTTAGGATTTAGTTGATATGACAGAACTTTTTTATATATGTGTGCTCAATATGGGTTACTATTCCATAAGAATATGCCTCAGGATTTTTTTTTTTTTTTTTTTTTTTTTTGTAATGATTAGTCTCATGCATACATTTTTTTAAGCACTAGGTAAAAGTAAAAGGAAATGATAACTCAACAGACAAGAATATTTTTCTTGACAAATAGTTAACACAAATTGAAAATTGTAAGAGTAATTAAATTGATAAAATACAAGCAGTTAGAAGCACAACCTGCATTCATCACTGTTTTGAAACTATTTTGTTTAACCTGCCTGACAATTTATCACCAAATAAAAAATTGGTACAAATCCTGGCTCTAATATTTTAAAATTATTTTTCTTTACAGCAATACTTCAGCAATGGCTCCTTCTACAGGCCTGGAGGTCCTGTCTTCCTCATGATAGGGGGCGAGGGGCCAGCCAATCCAGTATGGCTCGTTGAGGGGAGTTGGATTGAATATGCAAAGCGGCTAAATGCTTACCTCTTCCAGCTGGAGCACCGTTTTTATGGCAAGAGTCACCCAACTGAGTAGGTTTGCATTTTTTTTTTTTTTTTTAAGAGAGCAAATATTTGGATAAAAAAATTGAATCAATGGAAATTTGTTTAGGTTCATGTTTTTTCTTCTTTCAGGGGTAGTATTATATAGATATATATTTCAATTTCACTCTCAAGGTTAAGAATATTTTTTAGAAGTAATTTGGACAAAGCATTTTTATATATCTATTTTTTCTCTCTCTTCCCAGGGATGCATCAGTGGAGAACCTTGCCTACCTCAGCAGCGAGCAGGCACTCGCTGATCTAGCAACATTCACCGTCGCAATGCAAGAGGAGCATGGTCTTAAGGAGAACAAATGGATTGCATTTGGTGGTTCATACCCAGGGTCTCTGGCTGCCTGGTATCGGTTGAAATACCCACATCTCGTGCACGGGTCAATTGCCACAAGTGCTCCCGTGGTTGCACAGATCAATTTCAAAGGTTGGACGAGATCAGTTGTTGTTTGATATACTATGGATAATATTTTGCTGTTTTTGTCTTCTGACTATCTTGGCCTGTTCTGTGTTTGTGGATAGTTTTTGTTTACTTTTTATTTTGAAATTATTGTAATGTGTGTCTATAAGTTGGTAACTGCAAAGTCTAAAGAAGTGTCATTCAGAGTAATTTATGTTTATTAACTACATTACAAAAGATAAATAAGTAAATAAATTGATAAATATTTTTTTTAAATAGATAAATAAATTAGTTTTAAATACATAAAAAAGTCATTCTATAATAAATCTGACATTCATTCTTGTCCATTCTAAGTAAAAACTCATAAAATACATGTTCCATTTAAGATTAACTTTTGGTATTTTTGCAGAGTACCTTGAGGTCGTGCGAGATGCCCTCGCCACAGTGAATGAGAAATGTGATGAGGCCGTGAAAGAAGCAACGCGCCAGCTAAACATGCTCTTGCTACATAGGGTTGGATGGCAGAGCATAACGAAACGGTTCAAGTATGTTTTGATCTTTGTAAATAATAATTTTTGGTGGTTTTAGAATTTTAGATCTTAATTTTTTGAGGAGTAAGAAGAATACATTTTTTTTGATGAAATATGTTTTTGAGATATATTGTATTAGGTCTATTTAACATTTTAATAATTGTTGAAAAACAACTTCTGAAAAGAATATTTTCAGCTATTGATTTCCTGTTTTGTATGATATATAGATATTTTGTGCATTAGTGTACATTTATGGTGAAGTACCTATATTTGTGTGTTTATTATCAATATTTTCTTTTTTTTATGTATTATTTATAGTATGCATATGTAAGAACTGAGTGAATTTCATGGTCTAGATGTATATTTGTAGATTTTATTAATGCTGTGTAATTGTATGATCTATGGTTAACTATCATAATATTCTGTCTTATACTTTGTACTTGTATGTGATGTCCAATAGTGGTTTAGAATTTGATGGAAACTTTGTATTTCCTTTTTCTCCTGTATTTCTTTTCTCTAAATCTCCCTCCCCCCATATGTCTTTCATTTTTTCCCTTTTACTGTTCCTTCTTTCCTTTCTTTACCTGTTTTTGGTATCTGAATTTTCCTCTCTTCTTAATTTCATGTTCCTGTTTTCCATATCTTTCCTTTTCTTCCTTTGCAATCCTTTCTCTTTTTCTTCCATCTTCCTCCTTTTCTTTCAAATTCATCTTCCTACCTCCCCTTCTTTTTTCTATTTTCATCATGATTTGTGCACTTTCTCTTATACCTGCTTTATTACTTTTCTTCTTCTTACTTGCATTTCGTCTTTTATTTCCCTCCTTTCCTAACTAACAAAATCTTTGTCAACAGGCTGTGCTCACCGCTTGATGGGCAGAACAAGAAAGACGTCGCCAACTTGTTTTCAATTCTGACGGAGAACCTTGAAGACGTTGTGCAGTACAATAAGGACAATCGGGACTTCGAGGGAGTGAAGGGCACCAATATTACTATTGACACATTATGTGAGATTATGCTGGATGAATCGAAGGGGCCGGCAATCACAAGGTAAATTTTACCCTTTATATATTGATCTACATTTTACAATTATATTTTAAAGAATGTTTAAAAGTGTTATATTTGATTAACATTTATGTTTTTAATAGATGTGATCATAAGTTAGATGGTCTTTCAAATTTCTTCTTGGAATTAAATATAAAATGCTGTTGTATTTTTTTTTTACTGTTATTATTATTTTCAGATTGTAATAACCTTTGACATATTAACTTACCTATACATTCCATACTGTTTCAAATTGCTAAAGTTGACATGGCAAGAGTAACGATATGATTTCTATTATGAAAGAGACTTTTTACCTTTTTTCCAGATATGCAGCCATTAATTCGCTGGCTCTTGAAGTCCATGAGGAGGAGTGCTTAGACCACACATACGAATCAATGATAAAGGAACTGAGAGCCACGAGCTGGGAAAACAACACAGACATTGGAGGTGCAGTTATGCTACTTTTCACATAATTTTTGTGGCTCTCTTTTATTTATCTTAATTTATCTCACTCCTCTCCCAGTTATACAATGCGACAGAGAGCAAATATACCTTTAAATTTTCCACTTGTATTATGTATGCAAGTGCATGTGAATGGCTTCTTCACTCTATAACATTAAGCTGTGTTCTCCATGACAAGAAAATATTTTCTTGCATTGAGAGACTATACAAGTCTTATGCTAGTTATATGAATTAGGCTCATCTTTTTTTGAGGTCTATGTATGTGGTGGTCAAGTAAGAGAGTCATTCACTAGATTTTAGTCCACTTCTTGTAGCTTGTCAAGACCTTCCTCTTACATGCTGCTTAATGTCATAGATTTTCAGAATACTGGGTCTGATTTGCTGTTTATTTTTTAATAAAAATGTAGTGTGATTAA